CGTGGTTTAATTCCAGGCTGCAACACAGGTGCAGAGGTCTTGTCTGGTTTTCGTGGTCTTTGCCGATGGTCGTCAAGGTGATGAGGTCTTCGCAGGGGATCTGTCTCTGGGGCTCATCTAGTTGACGTGGTCTCCGCTGACATTCAGGGCTGTAGAGGTCATCTCTATGTGCTGATCCACCATCTGGACTGGATCTGGTGGCTACAGTGACCTCAGAGTAAGAATGAAAGAGACTAATATTAGCGTAGATATTAGCCATTCTTCTTACGATGTAACGAGTACATCGGTTGTTATGGGAAGTGTTCCCGGTTCCATTTGACCTAATTAATGCAGCCTAACAATCCTTTAACGGATTTGAATTATAGAAATGTGATAGTGTATTATGTGTATGCCAAGTTAAAGAGATGGGTCTTTAACCTAGATTTAAACTGACAGTGTGTCTGCCTCACGGACAATGCTAGGTAGATTGTTCCAGAATTTGGGCGCTAAATAGGAAAAGGATCTGCCGCCCGCAGTTGACTTTGATATTCTAGGTCATGGATGGGCAACTTTGATAGTGACGAGGGACAGCATTTTTTCTCCTTTATACCAAGGGGCCAGATTACTAATCCACATCCATACACGTTTTACACCGTATTACTCAATTTCCTTTTTATTGAAGGAAATTAAAGTATAACTAATGTAATTTGTTTTTAAAGATTTTATTAACTATAAAACTTGTGCAGTTATGCTAATTCAGAAGGAAAACTTTGTTGCCAGTGGACAGAAATATTACCCCAACAAGCCAATGTAAACATCTCAATTGCATTGTCTGTAAATTTGCATCAAACAAATGTACAGAGATCCTTTTTTAATTAGTGGCCTACAGAACATTCTCAAAACAACCTAAGAGGACAGTTAAAAAGGGCTTATTAAAAAAAAAATAGTTATTTCAAATGGTAGCATAAAATAACCTGGTATCTGCAGGATTTTTCAAATCAAATTTAAGACCTTTAAAGACCTTTTTAAGATCTGCACTTCACATTTCAGCCTTTAAACCATTTTTAAGAAAAGGGATGTCAAAAGTATCAATTATTATTAATTTAAACAATTATTATCAATTAAGTATTATTAAATAACATATAAATATATCTTAGTGTCTTAATTGTTTAGATTTTTATAATGCATTAGCTTTTTGTCGATCCACTGGTTCACATAAAATATGTAGCAAAAATAGCAGATGGGCTTATTGAAAAAGCAAATTCGTTCTCTGCCGGCAGGTTTCACTTTCGGAACTGCAGAAATATAGTGGTTTCCCCGGTAACTGCAGTACACAAAGCTGACATGCAGCGCTCAAGTTTA